CCCCGGCCTTCAGCCAAAATGCTCACAGTGGTAAGTTTGTGTGTCACCCCAGCCCACAGCCAGATTTTCCCTTGAAGGCATGTTGCCCTCAAGCCAAATTTTTTGATGATGTGACGGGTACATCATCCAGATTGTAGGGGTTAATCTTTGTCTAAAGTCTATTTCTTTATTTTTATTCTTATTTATTTTTCTGTCATAAGGAAACTATAAAGAAAATATGGAATTGGATAGTATTAGTAATTTCATGCTGTCAACAGGTTTCAGGGGCACCAGACCCTACTGCTGGTGGATCAGCCAACGAGCAAATGGCCTGGTGGCTAGACGAGAGCAACCTTCACGAGAACATTCACAAGATCCTGGTCAAATTTTGTGTGCCATCTCCCATTGTTTTTAGGTATGTGATTTTTTTCTTTCTTTTTCATTTCTTTTCTTTACTTTTCCAGAAGTTATTGGGTCTGCTGTTGAAATTAGATCTAGTGTCTGGACTTTACACAGCATTTTGTAATGTATTAACATACATATAGTAAATTCATTAGTACCAAACTAGATTGATAGTTTTCTGTATGATTCTCTTCATAAAATAAATCCACCTGCATTTTATTATGAAATAAAATATACAAATTATACATAAACTCAAGTTACAATGTTACCCTTGTTACTGATGAGAAGGACTCACTATATATATATATATATATATATATATATATATATATATATATATATATATATATATATATATATATATATATATATATATATTAAAGATGGGTAACCCTTCTTATGAAATGAGACTTCCTGGACTGACCTTCACACATTTTACAGCGACGTCAACTACTTGAGTTCGACAGCCCCACCAGTGGCTGCAGAATGGTCATCCTTGCTGAGACCACTGAGGGGAAGAGAACCCGAAGGCATGTGGAACCTTCTCTCCATCGTGAGGGAGATGTTTAAGCGAAATGACCGCAATGCCATTCCCCTCCTGGAGATCATTACAGAGGAATGCCTGGCTACAGAAAAGGTATCTAGACTTGATTCTTGCTTAGGTGATCATGACTTTGGAAATTGAGTGCCATAACAGGGAAAAGTTAACTGTAGGGATTATGCTTAAGTTCTTTACTATTCATGTAAGTTGAAAGTCAAGAAATTAGCCTATGGATTGTTCAATTCTTAATGTTTCTTTTCTTTTTTTTTTCAGATTTTGGTTTGGTGGGTAAATACAAAGGTTGCCCTGCACATGGGGAGTTCTGGCCATGGTGGTAAGAACAACATGAACTCCAACAGCCATGGAAGCCAGTATGCTTGCTCATCTCTCTGTGATGAAATTGTCGTTCTGTGGCGTCTGGCAGCGCTTAACCCAGCTTTGTCACCTCAGGAGCGTGAGCAGCTTATTGCCAAGTTCAAAGGCTGGCATCTCAAGGTTTTAGAGAAGGTTGCAAAGAGCAAAGGTAAGTAGAAGCATTCTTTTTCTTTCTTTGTTTTGTTGATATGTTAATGAATTCAGTTTTGTTAGTCAAAAGTTAAAGATGAGTTTTTGTATTATTGGGAATCTTTATCAACACTAATTCCTTTCTTTACCATTAACAGAAACAGGTACAAATGGTGGAGGCGGAAGCAACAAGAGAGGCACTGATGTTGACGTATTCCCAGGGTTCAAGCCAGCAATAGAACCTTGTTACCTTGACTGGAATGATTACCCTCTTCCAGGAGTTACATATTCCCACACAGCTTCTCGATATTATTGTCCAGTCATGCGGTTTAGGCATGATTCTCGACACGAGTCACAAGCAGCACCCATCTCAGCACCACACCCAAGAAATCCTACATCACACGCCGGGCCAAAACGGCCTTCAGAGCGGCGTGTGCTTATCAGTTCTGGAAATGCAGGTGACAAAGAGAACTTGGGTGCTGGTGTCTCTTTAGCAGGTCATAGACACAGTGGTCATCGGAGCAGTAGTGTTAGTAGTGAAGGCTTTTGCGACAATGACCTGGGCCGTGACAGTGACTCTCCACCAGATCAAAGGTCACCTGAACAAGTTGACTCAGGCCAGGTGTCCCGACAGAGTTCAAGAGAGGATCGTCCCATGGGAGCTCTAGGTCTGGTGGCAGCCTTTGATCGTTCAAGAGACGATAGGGATAAATCATCTCCTGATGATGGTGGAGCAGAGTCCGACTGGTCTGGTGTTGCAGAACCATCCAGAAACCAGAGAAGCCGGGCAGGTAGTAGAGGGCAGCGATCCAGAGACCAAAATGGAGCAGATGAATATGACGTGTATGTGTATAATGCTAATTTAGTTGGGGATGGAAATAGTGTAAGTGATTGTAGTGGGGCTGAAAGAGGAGCAGAAATTTTCAATAACCTGAAAAAGTTCGAAGATCCCCTTGAGATACTCTTTGCTCGTGCTGAGGGCCTGCATGCTCATGGACATTTACAAGAAGCCTCTGGACTGGCAGTACAACTAGCACACGAGCTGCTGGCTAACCCTCCAAACCTCATGATTGAGCTACCACCACCACCCAGCAAAGGCAAGCGTAAGAAAGTAAACCCAGCATCACACCATCTGACTTGTCTAGCCTCAGCCACCTTGAGTAAATGTGCCTTCCTCTGCACTGTCTTGGCAGAAAACCCTGACCACACACACCTGGCTTTCCAAGTTGCCATGTTCGGTTTAGAAATGGCACGACCTCCAGCATCCACTAAGGTAAACCTTTTGTATTTATACAGATAAAAAAGATTTATTTATACCTTTAAGATTGACTTTCTGTTAATGAATTCTACTAACTTGTTGATTATTTTGCTGTTTTTGATCATTATTGCTATTATCATTATTATTTACATCTCCAAAACAAAATATTATGATCTCTTGCTCTTGAGTCAGTATATGGTTGTTTTTCTCCTGCAGCCATTGGAAGTGAAGCTAGCCAACCAAGAAAGTGACTTGGTTTTCCTCCTGAAGCGCCTGCTTCTCGGTCCACTAGAATTAGCTGTAATCAGAGATAAGGCTGAGAAAATGCGATCAGGCACACTCAAGTCTCGTGGCGAGGCTCTCCTGCCATTAATGCTTGCTTCCTTCCTTTTTGATGCTCTAGTCATTGCTGGTAAGGGTACTTTGCATGCATTTTTACATATTATAGATATAAGTTCACATAAAAATAGTAACATTTTGTAAAAGCATGATGCTGGAACAAAAATAGTTTATATGATTTTGATTGTTTGCACTCATTTCATAACAGGAAATAACAAAAGTACAGTTGGAGGTCAGAGTTACCGCCAGCCACAAGATGAAGCTCTGGGCTTCGATGCAGCTGTGGCAGCCATTGGCATGAAGGCCAATGTGTGTGAGGCAGACCACCCACTCCTCTGTGAGGCCACAAGAAGACAGGTAAATAAAAATATGTACAGAAAAAAAATACTTCTACATAATATTAGTACATGTGGAGATATTTAATGTCATTTGATATTGGCAGTGCCATTCAATCATCTAATGGTATTATGAACATTCTCAGAGAGGAGAGTTAGCTCTCACACTGCTGACACACTACAAGGATGACCAAGACAGACTAGCTCGTATCATGGACAAGCTGCTAGACAAAGAGGTGCACCAGATGTATAAAGCACCATCACTGCCCACATACTATGTGAACAATGTGCCCAATCAGGTAGGCAGGACAACAGCTATGCTTATTCAGGTAAAATATATCTTTTTTTTTTTTTTTTTTTTTCAAAATAGAAAAAAGAAGTAATATTATCTTGTTAAAAAAAAAAAAAAAAAAAATTGAATTTTTTTTCCCCCAGCAAACAAGTGCTAGTGGCCTTGAGAATAGTGAGGCAAGTAGCAACATTAGAGTAGCAGATTCTCCAGCAGCAGGGGCAGTCAGTAGCAGTCCTATGCCTGGTGTAGCAGCAGCGGCAGCAGCAGCTGCTGCTGCTGTTGCAGCACCACCCATACTGGGCACACCGCCATCAGCACACCCAAGCAACCAAGTACCTGCACCTGTACAACAACAACAACAACAAACAGTACAGAGAGACAGGCATAATGCAGGTGATTATAGTGTTACTTTTTGAATTATATATTTGTAAATTTTATTTGTAATATTAGTGAAAGTTAGAATTCTAAAACTCTGTAATGTATGTATTAAAGTTAATTGTGTAGATGAGTGATGTTACCTGGTTTTACTGTATTTTCTAATCAGAAAGAAAGAAACTCTTAAGTAAAGATTGCAATTCAATGGTGTCTCATAATTCGTAATCGTGTATTTCAGTCAGTTCTGCTTGTTGTGTGATTTTGATTGGTATGTCTTGTGTTTGTCAGGGGAATATATTTAGTAACAGTCAGATTATGTAATGATAGCCTTGTGAAGATATTTTAGGTGAGTAATTCCATTAGATAGACCAGTTATTGATATTGTTGATTAAGCATTCTACAATTTCATACGATTTCTTAAATTTCAAGGGATAGGTCAAGGCTGCCTTTCCTATAGACAGAAGAATGCAATGAATATTAGGAATGACAGGATTTAATATCAATCAGCATATAAGATCAAAACATTTAGAGACTTACCTCAAGTCTTTTGCACAGGTGGAGCAGAGATAGAAGGCTCCATGGCTGGGCTTAGTCTCTCTCCCTCCCAGCCTGTAGGAGGAGCAAGAGCCAAGGAAGGGACGTCATCTGCTAGGTTTGTGGAGGGCGAGGAAGGGGAGAGCCCGAGCTGGGAGGACGACTATAAGGCCTGGGAGGAAAAATGCGCCGGAAAACAGCGCAAGAAACGGAATCAAGCGTGTACTTTAGAAACTACCTCAACGGGTGTAGAAGGTGATGATGATAGCTATTTTCTGAATCGTTAAAAGTTTTTTTTTTTTTTGTTTATTTATTTTTCATTAATGCCAAAGAGAAAGAGATTGATGCATGTGTGAATGTGGATATGGGATGAGAGCAAAGCTTCCTACAAATTGTTTAGAAGAAACAGTAGCAAAATATTTAAGGAAATATATATGTTGC